AGTCAACTTTAGCCTCTTATATGGGAAAATTTTTTTCTGCATTAATGTTAAGGTGGGAATCATGAAAAGCTAAAGTTAAGGTTTAAAAAATAGGGTAAATTTTTTAAACTTTTCCTTAAGTTTTTGACCATTGCTGAAACTTTTTAGAACTTTGGTGATTGCAATCACCTCCTCTGAACTTTCTAATACAATTATAAGTAGACCCTCTTTGTTAGAATCCTCTAACAAGAGGCACGGAAGTGTCCAAAATACCCATGCAGTATTTACTGAAGCTGATTTATATAGGAAAAATACAAAATTTATAAAYAACAAGAAAAGAGAAAATTTAAAGTTGAAGCTTTATCTTTGAGCGATTGATATGAAGGGCAAGTTTGGAAAATAAATCAATTTCAGAAAAGAGATTGAAAGGATTTGGACTAGCAATTCATATAAAGAGAAAATTTGGAAAATAAACATTTTGGTCAAAAATAACTACATGGGTATATTGAACATTTTAATTTCATGCATCTTTTTAGAGGATTCTAACAAAGGGGGTCGACTTGCAACTATGTTAGAAGGTTTAAGGGAACTGATTGCAATTACTAAACTTCAGGGGGCGTTTCAACAATTTACCTTAAAAATAAAACAAAATTATAAGATTGTAAAACTATTAATGTTTGTCGATGAGATCATTACTATTGTTAATTTCAAAATATATTATTCTTTTTACCAATACAAAAGGCTGAACACACATTTTAGTATTTAAGGCATATTTGGTAAAGTATTAAATCCATTTCTTCCCATGAAAAAACCCCATTAGTTTTGTGGCCAAAGGGATTACAAGTTAATAGGTAAACAAACCTAAGGGGAAGTGTTAGTATTTGACCCAAACTTAACAGAGAGAAAATTAATTCCATCATCATCATCAGCAGCAGCAACAACACCTAAGCCTTCTCCCAACTATATCGGGTTGGCTATATGAATCCTGTTTAATTTTCCATTCCATCCCATTTAGTGCCATATACATTGTTAAATTATTGCATTAAGATCATGTCTTATAACACCCATCTAGACCCTTTTTGGTTTGCACCCAATTCTTCTAGCCCATTGAACTTGTAATTAAATAGTTTTTTTGAGAAAATGTTTTATATGGTATTCTATGCATGTGTCCAAACCATCTTAATCTACTTTCTCTCATTTTATCTTCTATTTGAGCTACTTCTAGTTTTATTCATATGACTTCATTTCTAATCTCGTCCTTTCTATTTTTACCAATTATCCATTTAAGCATTAGCATTTCTATCATATTCATTTTCTTGACAAGCTATTTCTTAACAGCCCAACATTATACTCCATACAACATAACTAGCCAAACAATTGTTTTATACTACATTTATAACCTTATCTTTTTTAGTTTTATCACTCATTCATCTAGCATTCACATTTCTAACACTGTCAATTTTTGGACATGTTGTTTCTCAACTGCTTGACACTCCACTCCATATGGCATAGTTTCGATTACAATTGTTCTATAGAATTGGCCTTTTAGCCAAAGTGGTATTAGCTATGACATAAGACTTAAGATGCACCCATGCACCTATCCTCTAATTCCATGGGTGATATCCTCCTCAATCTTTTATCTGTTTTGAATTATTGAACCAAGATAATGGAAGAAGTCGCATTGAGTTATCTCTTGGTTAGTTCTAAGCATATCTGGTTTGCGCTCCTATCATTATTAAATATATATTGCATATATTATGTTCTACCTAGTCCTACTTATTTAGAAACCTATTGTTTCTAATGAAGTTGTTCATAATTAAACCTTTTTTTTTCTTCTTTCTTCATTTGACCCTTTGCTAGTTTCATTAATTAATACTATGTCATCCCTAGTAAACATTAACCAGCATTGGACCCCCTCTTGAATTTGTTTAGTGACTTCATCTATTACAGCCTAATGCAAATAAAGAAGTGCTAAACCTTTAGTGAAGACCCATTCTAATGGTAAAATCTGATGTCTCTCCCACAAAAGTTTTAACATTAGTTTGTGCGCCCTTGTATATATCTTTAGTTAGGTTCACAAACCTATTTGGGACTTATTTGTTTTCCAAAACCCACCATATTACCTCTCTAGGGACTCTATCATATACTTTTTTAGTATCAATAAAAACCATGCGGAGTTCTCTCTCTCATTCTCTCTTAAATTTCTATTAATAATCTTAATGCAACTTACTCTTAAGAAAATATACTAATAGATATTGGATTAAACTAATGCAAAATGATCCTTTTTTGATGCCAATCAAAGCTATAAACTTCTCCTGCTCAATTACACCAAATTAATGCTAATATGTTTCCTATTTCTTGATAAACCTATGAACCCACCCAGTGCAATTTTTTTGAAGGATAAAAGAAAATTTTATTAAAAATAAAAGAAAGGAATACAACTGACAGACCAATAGAACATTCAAAGGCACTACAAAAACATAATCAAGCCTTTCAAGCTTCCAAACTAAAAAGTCCTCTTCATCCCTCTTCTTCTCTCGCGCGCCTTCTCAGCCTCTTCCTTGAACCTTTGGAAGGCCTCTCTAGCGAAATTTTCCCTGCCCTAGAAATTTAAACCCAACGACTTTGCCACCTGCACATCTTTCTCTACTTTGGATTAATCTATAGACCTTGGCGCCTCTTCCTCCGCATCCATCTTTGTCTCATCCCTTTGAACTGTTTTGAACAACCTTTATCGAAATCCTGGGTTGAGTGTTCTTCTTTCATTTCCTCCCTACTGAAATGAAGCAACGACCTCCGGCTCTCCCTCTTCTAGAATTGGATATGAGTTTACGTCTTGATTCCCCTGAACTCTTCTTAYTAACTCCACTGAGTACCACACTCTTCTGTCTGCATTCTTCTTATAAAGCAGCCTCAACCCTGCCCTCTTCTTGCTAGAATCAAGTTTCTCAAATTCCTAGCCAGGGCGGAATGCAATTTGTTCTTCTGAGGGCTATGACCGCTTTGAATCTGTTCCAGATTGTTGGAGCTGGCACTAAACAACCCTTTGAGCCTCTAACCTACCTTCTTTAACTATCAACCCCTCTCCTATCCCCATAGATGGGCTCGCAATCTCAACGTCCTGAGGTCCAACTTTAGTAGCCTGCATTGCAATCGGTGCGGCCGAAGCAACCACAGGACTCAGGAGCCCCTTAAAAGGTCAGCCCATGGGCCCAATTCACTAATTCACGCCTTACACCTCCCTCAAGACCCGACATCTTTGAAGCTCTGTCATAGGGATGGCAACTTTTAGGGAATTTTTTGGTATCCGACCCGCCCTGACCCTAATAGGACCTGTTTATCACTATAGGGTTTGGGATTTTAGATTAAAACCCTATTAGGAYGGGTTTGGGTTTTGACTTTAGGGTATCCAATACCCGATACCCGGGATGCATAAATATGAACCTATTATATTATATATCATGCACAAATTTATAAATTTTAAGTACTAAGATAATTATTCTATTATTAATATTTTATTTGTATAAATTTCTTGGGATTAAAATCATCATTTAATGTAAATTTGGATTTGATAAATTGTTTATTTCATTTAGTTATAAAATGCTAATTTTAAATATTATTTCTTTTAATTTTTAGTTGRGATTGTGAACCATATACATGTATTGATTGTTTTGATAAGCACAAAAGTTAATAAAATCTATTTTATTTCATTATATAACACAAAAGGCAAGATGGCTTAGTGGCATAAAGTAGTGTTAAGAGATTTGATGCTATCATTAATTGATTTGAGTTTAAGTTACACTATAAGCATTAGAATGATACGGGTTTAAGAATTTGAGAGGAAAAGTTAGACAGGTTTGAGACGGGTTTGGAATCAAGGATACATAGGTGGGCTTGGGAATGGGTAGGGCGATTTACACGGGTACCCTACCTGTTGCCATTCCTACTCCATCACCTTTTCTTGAGAAGGAAACAAGATTCGAATTTGAAAATAACCAAAAAGGGAAAATTCCACTTTAATTCAAGTCAAGGGGTTTAATGGGTTTGTAGCGATATGGGTTTAAGAAATTGAGAGGAAAAGTTAGACGGGTTTAGAATTAAGGATACATAGGCGGGTTTGGGAAGGGTAGGGCAATTTGCACGAGTACCTTACCCGTTGCCATTCCTATTCCATCACCTTTATTTGAGAAGGAAACAAGATTTGAATTTGAAAATAACCAAAAAGGGAAAATTCCACTTTAGTACCCTAAACTTAGAGATGGCAATTTCCCCCAAATTCTTATATCCTATATGTGAATTATCTATAAAATAGATAATTTTTAAGTAGTTACCTTAGAGCAGAAAAAATAGATAAACATTTTGGGATAGTGTCAAATTAGTATCTAAACTTTCGAACGTATCACTGCCTGGAATACCTAAACCTTCAAAAGGAGTGTCAAATTGGTCCCTATGAAACTAACTTTCAAAGAAGACACTATTCGTGGCATCGTGCATAAATGTCAGATGAACTCTTTATTGGGGAAGATTTCCGATTCTCTTTCTCCTCTGAGGCTATTACCTCACTCCCAATATTTAACATACCAAATAACACGGCCGCCCCTACCACCGCCCCCGGCGATTCATCGATGAATACCTCTAGGATCAGGTTCGAGAGACCCGAAAAGCAGCTCAAGACCAACGGTTGGAATTCTTGCACCACGTAAGACAGACCTTCGATCCCTTAATCGTCGTCTTCCCCCAATTTTCTTTCTTTTGGCAAGCCAAACTCGTCGACTGTTCACGCTCATCAGTCGTATGGGAATCCACTCGGTAACGTAAACTTGAAGGAGGAGGCAGTGTCACCGGCGAACATGCCCTTCCCCTCCCACGTTTCTGATCAAAATTATGTATCCAAGCCCGGGCATGGGACTAAGAGGGTGAATCCGGCGACGACGAGGCCGGCGCAAGATCATGTAATAGCAGAGAGGCGACGAGATAAGCTCAGTCAGCACTTCATAGCTCTCTCAGCAATTGTTCCTGGCTTCAAGAAGGTTAATTCCCAGACATTATTATTAATTCATTCTGTCAGAGACTAGCTAGGCTTTCTATTTTTAAGAAAATAAGGCTTCTGTTCTTGGAGACGCTATCAAGTACTTGAAACAACTGCAACAGCGAGTGAGGACATTAAAAGAACGGGCCGAGAAGAAAACATAGGAATTCGGTTGTGTTGGTTAGAAGAACTCAGATGTTGGTCGAAGATGACAACTGTTCCTCGTATGAGAACTTTGGCAGATGTTGCTATGATGACGATGTGCTCCCGGAGATTGACGTGAGAGCCTCGGACAAGAACGTGATCATAAGAATTCACTGCGAGAAGCGGGATCGAGTTGCCGCCTCTCTCAAACGAAGGGTCCTGCCGCGTTTCACCAGAGACCGAACGTCGGCGTCTTCTTCTCTGGCACCGATGCAATCTCCCCCTCGTCCCTACTCCCGCCTGAAAAGGATCGAAGTTATTTCCTCTTTCCTCCCTTCCCCTATCAGACTTGGAATCCCCCAAACTTGACACCCCTGCTTCTTCCGCCCCTTCTTCCACTGCCACCCATCGGAAGCCTCTAAGGGATCTGGCGGTTAGAGATTTCGGGCCTTCCACCACGAAACTCACTACAAATAACTCTCCAAAGACCCCCACTGTCAATTCCTTAGGAACCTTGTGCGGTGCTTCCGCCCAAATCAAAAGCTTTACAGCCTCGAGGTCCCTCCAGTTGGGGTTATCCTTTGCGACCCCGGCGAAACCCCTGACAGCGTTTCCTAGTTCCTTAAAAGCTTCGAGACACCAGGCATGGAGCAGTAATCCGAAGATTCTCAYCCTCCACCTCCAGGACCCTCTGTTGCTGCAGTCTCTCTCCAAGCCCAACAACCAACGGAACAAACCCAGATTTCTACCTTCAAATCGGTACGGGCCTCGCTCTGCTGCCCGTATAGCTTCTAACTCCGAATCCAGCACGATTAGAAATCACTCGCAACTCCGGTTCCAGCATCGACACCTGACAATGCTCCGCTTCGAATTCCCCTATCAAACACCTTTTCAACCAACACTCCCTTTCTCTCACCCCTGCTCCGGCGGCAAAGACTATGCGGCCTGCCGGAGTTACGCCCACCGATGCTTCATTATTCGTCTAAGTTAGGCTCAAAATCAAACTGATTACATTTGTACTGCTACATATGGAAGTTTGGATTTCTTTTCTATTTAGTGTTGATCTTTATATATGGTACAAGCATATACATACATTTAACTGCATCACTGATCAGCCTCAAATTGTCACTCTTCTATATTAGGAAAAAAGCTATGATGATTAGGGGTGCTAGGTTCAGTACATGAGAAATCTTCTTCTTCAGTGAAGATCCCATCTCCATAGCTGGAAATAATTGTCATTGCCGGACTCTGCAAAGTACTCATATTAGGTGTAACCTGATCACAGTCTCTAACGTCTATTGTGTGCCCACAATCTGGGGGTTTCCCCTTGTGGGATGTATCAGTAGAAATCTCTTTCTTCTGATCAAATTGTTTTATCATGGAGGTTACTATTTGCTTCACTGAGCCTTCGGATTTTAGTATATCTTTATGCTCGTGAAGGAATACAAAGAAGAATATGAAGAGGGCGGAAGAAGAAGAGAGCCCAGCAACGAGGAAGAGGCCTCTGAAGCTATCTATAGTGAGGCTATTTGAAGTTACTGTGGTTGCTCCTTGCTCTGGACAGTCTTCTTGTTGTCCAAACCATTTTTGCTCAATCTTTGACATTGTTTCTCCCTCAGTGATGTTCAAGATTGCCGTTGAGACATCAGGTACCAATGGAGAACCCTTTGGAAAGACCTACAAGACATTAAACCCAGAAATAGCCACATCAGCAAAATAATTAAAACACACATTATTCCTGAATTGCGTTTTTGTTTTGAGAAGAAAAGGCAAGTTGATTTTATTTCCAAAACAACTTCTGGAGCACAAATATTATCAGAAATTTACATTTGAGAAAACCCCATTTAGTGTTTTGATTTTAAAACAAAGGAGATTGTGTCTGATATTTGTTGGGTGTTGTACAGTCACAGCAAATGAACTCATTTCAAGTGCAACAACATAGCCCAAGAAAAACATTTCAATCTCCATTGAGAGAGAGAGAGAGAGAGAGAGAGAGACTCACAAATCCATAGCCAGCAATCTTGTAGGTCCGTCCCACCACAGTGTACTTCTTACAATATTTAGCAAGAAAGAGCTTAACAAAAGGGATCTCATCTACGATTGCAGAAACGCCACCGTTCCGGCTCCCTCTGGAAAGAGCCTCATGGAACTCTTCAACACTGCTATAGGACTTAAGCTTCGATCTGTCRACCTTCAAACTCTCCATGAGCCCTGCGACGAAAGAACCCTTCTGATAGCCAATATATTCTCCATTCTTTATGATATCCTTTAGGTCTGTAATGGTTGGTTGCAGTTGTTCTACTGTTAACATGGACGTTAAGCTAGCTGTGTAACTCGATGTCAGAACAAGGACAACAAACACCCATATGATCATCACAAATCTCGATAGATTGCTCAGCACCTTCTCTTCTGCAAATAACAAATAATGCAATTCGCTTTTTAGATTCCTTCAACTAAGCTGATTAAGCCATGGCCAATCAAATTAAATTTCTATACCTTCTTATTTTTAATCAACTCTCTGTCTACAGGAGTGAGATTTTCTAAATTAAGAAGCAAATAGTCTTACAATCCGAAGTTGTTAGACAGACCAGACACAAAACTGATTCGGCCATGGCCAATTAAATAAATTTCTACCTTCTTATTATTAATCAATTCTCTCTCTAAAGGAGTTAGATTGTCAAATTAAACATGCTCTATCAATGGGTCATAGGTCAGGGCCTGTTCATATAGTTTGATCATTTGAATCAAACCAGATGGAGGAGGGTTGTGTCAGGTTGGCAGCCAGCTCTATAAAAATTAACTCGATATAATAAATAATACAAATTGCAATAGTTTACACATGTATTTGAAATGGGAAATTACAATCTATGATACCCAAAAGATATGGTACGGGAAGAACTTTGCCCACTCCATCAATTTTGATGAATGCCACCTGATTGGTCACCTCTTCTATATGATACCATTCAGTTTATGAGTTCAAATTAGCCCCCTACAATGTCCCACAACACATCTCTGCCGTGTATTAGAAATATCTCCTGTTAATAACATCATCATTTTTTGTATTATCTTCGGGAAATGTTCCTGACCAGAATGTACTAGGGGACATTGTGGGGGCAATCTTGTGGGGGGCTGATTTGATCTCTCAGTTGATTGGCTGTAAGATTTTTGGATAATAAGTTTGACCAGGTCAACCCTCAAAGTCTAGCAAATCAGTGGAGAGTACTTACTGTGTGCAAATACAAGCGTTGAGAAGGAGAACCAGAAGATCATCCCAACTTGTCTGTGAGGTGGACCCCTGAAGTCTACATTAATACCGTGCTCAAGAACCCAGACAACGAAGCCAGTGAAGATGAAAAAAGCTCCAGTAGTTAGCCAAAGATCCATTGTAAGAGGTTTCAAGAAAATCCATGCATTTCTTCTCTCATCATCTTTGATGGGCACAATCATCGACACCCCCGATTCTGTATAAGGCAAGGTGAAGTCTACGTGCAATGATCGGTTTGCTAGAATTGTTATATCTCCGACTACAGCGTCAAAATTCTGTGCTCCAACGACCATTCATTTTTATTAGTACGACAAATATTTGTTGAGAGAAAATGCATTGTATAAATATGCATGTCATAGAATGATCTGCAATAAAAAAAGTAGAGAATTGAATTACAGAAAGAAAGATCATAAACTGGTTTATGTTGCATGCGTATTAACTTTTCACCTCTCTTTCTTCTTGTCTACCCTCAATCTCACAGTCCATATATATCAACTCCTGTACTCCATTTATCAAAAAGGGGATGCGCCCAAGTCACTCACCAAAAGTGGGGTTTTACAAGGTTTCTTTAAGTTCACTTGGGCTATGTTTGGTTTGATAGAAAACAAGAGAGATTCTCTTATTTTCTAAAAAAGGTGGAGAATAAGGCTCATTGTCGGGGGCCGTTTGATAACAGCTGAAGTGTGGCTTTTTGCTGTTTTTTAGTGAATATGTCATTAAGGGGTTGCTAGATCTTTAAATTAAAGACAAAGTAATAAGTCATTCAATTCATCCATTTCAGTCATTAATAAACGGGCCCTTATAATATATATATATATATATATATATATATATATATAGATAGAGAGAGAGAGACCCATTTATGTTGGAGAAAATATGAACACGGAAATAGGGGTCTGGAATCAGAATTGGATTGGCTATTCCAATTCTAACCGTTTGATTGGATGGAATCAGAATCCCATTTCCATCCCTGCTGGAATGACATTCTCCCATTTGAGGGAATTGCCATTTCCCTGTCCCTCCCTTGAGAATGAAATCCCATTCTTATTGATTCAAATTTTCAATTTCCATTCATGTCTAAAGTGAATACCAAATTACAGACTATGTGAATAGACCATCCCCATTCCAATTTCAAAGGATTTCAATTCAATTCCAGTTGCAAACCGAACGGACCCTTAAATTAAAACAAATATAGAAAGTAAAGAAGATCATATGTTTACCAACCTGAAGATATACTTGATTGACTAGATCATTGTAACTCAAGGAGCCCGTACCATTGGCCAACTCGAAGGGAACATACTCGTAGGGGACAGCATATGGTAATGACATCATTACTTTCTCGAACACATCTATGCAGAAACCAGTGACTGTGGGGGAGCTGGTGGGAGAAGACCTCTCCACTTTTACAAAATCAAGGAAGCCGTCTTTGACAGGAACTCCAACTCTCAGTTTCTTCCCACTTGTTGGCATTTCCCAACCCTTTGGCACCTCCAATTGCTCACCTGGCCATATGATAGCTCCAAGACCATCCTTGGAAGTTGAGTAGTTCTTCTGATCACCTGGCTTCAATAACTCCTTAGAGAGCCCATAAGTTGGGCTCCAGAATCCTATCCCTCTCTCCCCTTTTCCTATCACATTTACTATTTCAAAGGTTGAAGATGGCAGCTCCCCATCAATTAGGTGGTATTCTCCACTTAATCCCTCAAATCTAGTCCTCTGGAGGGCTCTGAGTAGTTCTGAACCCACTTGGGAGACTCCAATATTAAAAGATTTTAGGTCACTTAAGTTTTTTCCTGGAGGTTCCAAGTTCTTGAATCCTGAATGAACAACACTAACTTGCTCCGCTGACTTGGCTAGTGCCCAGATGCTATCATATGCCCATAATCCAAAAACGTCTAATTCAATTCTATCCATGTGAATATTCTCTTGACGGAACTTCCTTCTCCATCTTGTTGCAAAGTTGTTGAGCTTCTTGGATCTTGGAACATGAGGCTTCACACCCAAAACTCCTTGCATTGAATCAATCACAGATGGATCAAGGGAACATAGAGTGTCTGTAAGCTCATACGTGATGATCCAACTGTAGCCTTTGCTCATCATTCCGGCTTCCTTCGCCTTCAAGAAAACGCGAGAAGCGAGAGAAGATGGCATGTGCACTACATAAACTCTGGTTTGCATGGTCATTAGTTTGTAGAGTTCTTTGAGGATCTGATCATCCGTGGCCAAAGGAGAAATGACACTCCGGTAGGGGACCCTTACATTGATATCTTGCAAGGAATCAGTCAGAAATGGCACAAACCCTCTTCCACAATCTGTGTCTTCATAAATGGGCACAACTTCCTTCCATCCAAAGGCTTGGACAATTGCTGAAATAGGGTGAACTTGGTTGGAGTCGTTCTGGGCGATTCGAACAAAATAAGGAGTTTCAGTGGAGGAAAGAAAAGGGCTTGTCGCAGAGAAAGTGATTACTGGTACGTGAGTTTTGTTTCCAATATTTGCTACAAAATCAGCTTGCCCCGATCTTTGTGGCCCTAATATGGCCCGCACTTGTACATTTTTCAACAGGTCTATAGCTGCAGAGAAATGTTAAAGAAATCAGAGCTGAATGAATAATTTACTATGGACTATGATAAGCTAATTACAACCAATTAGTTAGTATCACAAAAAGAGGTGACCAATAAGGTGGATGGGGTGCTTTGATGATTGATGAAAGCTCTTCTGGTATCATGTCTTTTTCCAGCCTAACAAGTCAAAAATGAAAATGATCTTTGGTGTGAAGAAAGCAAAAAAAGACATCAAAATTAAGTACAAGAGATCAAGGAAAAGAATGTAGAGATGTTCTATTTGATTCTAGGTTAAAAGATCTGGGCTTATCTTTTTGTTTTGGATTGGTTATGTTCTTTGGGTTGCAAAGGTGTGATGGGTTTGGGCTCTAGCGTCTATTGGGTGGGGAGCCACGTGTATCTCASTGATCTCTATGGGTTGAATGCCATGCTTAACATTTTTAAGAGTAAAACATCCAACCCAATGCCATGCTTAACACTAGAATTTATTGGACTGGATGGACCTGGTCCATCCGTAATGGATTTTATATTAGATTGGTGTCAAAATGAACCAATATCCGGTCCAGAATACAAGTGTCATTGGACCAAGTTTGAGTTTTGAAACCAATCTGAATTAAAAACAATTTGGATAGATTGAACTGTCCAGACATTGAATTGTACTGGTTCAAAATAGAACAGAGTATTTATTAGATTGAGTTGGACCTGGTCCGTTTGTAATGGACTCATATTAGACCAGAAATCCAGTCCAATTGACACCTACTTGTGCCTCACTTATTGAAAGTTGTGAGGCCAAGGCAAGTGTGGGCATTTATAGGCTATGTTTGGTTTGCAAAATAAGAGAGAAATAGAAAGTTAATTGAAAAAGTTCATATGAAATTTTGTGAAAATTTCTTGTGAAYTTTTCTTCAACATTCTTTCTCTTTCTTATTTTCCATCAAAACAAACACAACATAAAATTTATTTATGTTTTTTTAATTTTAATATATGGAAATGGCTTTTCTTAGAATGATCAATTGGGCTTCTATTGTGAGTGATCAGGGTGAGACAAATCATACACTAACCAACTAATTTCATAAGAATTGAAATGTGTCAAAATAATATGAATGATGATGACAATGCAAGAAGAAAAACTACAAAAAAGAATGCATAAAGTTAATGTTTATACAATCAATGGCCATGTTACCGTACGTACCTGCAGATGCAGCTTCCACTACATCATTGTTGGAGTCCCTAACATGAATCTTGAGCCTCGTCGTATAACTATGATGAGTCGCATAGAAGTCCGACAGAGCCATCTTTATGCAGCTTAATCCCACCTTTCCACTCCATGAATCCAAATCAAGAATCACTCCCACGTCAATGGTGGCCGTCGTATTCTGAGCATCAAATTCTTCTGCACACAGACACAGCTTCAAAGGAAGAAAGAGAAGGAGCAGGAGATGAAGGTAGATTGCGTCCTTCTTGTTCTTATTCATGTTGGAGCTCTGAAACCATTCAACTCAGTTGTGTCAAGGTCGAGTTCAAGGCTTCATTCAAAGCACTACTGGGTTCGTTTTTTATATAGACGGCGACCTAATAAGACAGTCCAACTGTTTCAAAGTTTGAATGGRTCGGATCTAGAGAGATGTCACTGCCTGCCTTGATGGACCGCAGACGGCATGGTAATAAAGAAATTGTATATTTGACCACCACTTGACACCATGCAACAGCTTGGATGTCGGGCCATCAAACCGGGTCTGATTATGGATCCGGACGGACCTACAACTGAACGATAAAAAAATAAAGAAAAAAGAAATGGTTTTTATTGATTTTCTCAAATAAAGAGATATTGTAGCATGGTTTTCAAAATCGGGAACCTACCAGTTTTGTTTTTTCCCAAAATCGGGTTTTTGCCAAAAAAACACTGATTTGGTCAGTAAACCGCTGATCAGGCGGTTGAATCGTTCAAACCGTTCAACGGTTTTGACAGTTTTTATTTTTTTTTTTAATTTTTTTGTTAAAATGGTCAGACCATTCGACTCRGGAACTGAATCCCTGACCGGTTCATTGTCCGAGTCAATTTTAAAAACCTTGTATTGTAGTTAAATAGGGATCTGTGATAATAACATAAAGCAATTTCACGCCAAACAAACTGGACTATCGAGCTTGACCGGATAAGACCCGACCCGACTAACAAAAAAACCAACACCCCCGGCCCATCAAGATATGATCACAACAGCGTCACTCCATGCAACAACAAACAGACCACACCATCCTAGAGATCTAATTTATCCAGATTCATCCACCAGCCCACTAAAAAAATRAAAAAGCTCAAATCACACATCCGTACTTTTTACCTATGCTTTGACAATAAACCTAATTATTTATTAAATGGATAAATTTAAGTGAAAAGAAATGGACTGTGTAACTTTTTTATTATGTCAATATGATTATGATTATATAATCGGTTAAGGTCAAATGAGTTCAGGACAATCTTATCCCAATCCCATTATAATTAAGGCACATGATGCAGACCCAGACCGTAAATGGGTCGGGTCAGGTCTATCGGGTGTACCCGAACCATTGGCTTCAGATACACGGACTACGTTGAAGAAAGAATAACGCGTACAATACACACCATCTAACCACAATCTTCTACCTCTTCTTCGCAAGTTGAAGGGGAGTGAGTAAATGAAGAGAGAAACGCGACATCTGGTCAATTGGACCGAGTCTTCTCAATAGACGATCTAAGTTTGAAGAGGAGATAATTTGACTTGACAAGTATTTAAAAATTGGTAAAGCTTACTCGTTTTATACGTTTATCGGTCACCAAACTGTCGTGTAGCCTTATTAACTTATAAGCAATTAATCATTGACAGACTTGCAGATAGAAAATATAAGACAAGAAAGAGAAGACCCGACTATGGAATCGGATTTCTTTTCTCAGAAAAAAAAAAAAGAGACTATGGAATCGATCGGAATTTAATATGTAATATAAGCTGGAGGAGATACGACCTACATGTCACTCTCTAGAATAAGGCGGAGAGCTTGACTTGCATTGTAATGCGACGCAAATTGGCTGCTCCTAGTTAGAGATGATTTGACTCCCARTGAATGATGGAGTCAGCTGACATGCGCAAAGAGAATCAAAGAACCCGGGGGTGCTTATCCGGCGAGATCGCTCCGATGCTTAAGTCAGTAGTTTGCGAGSTAAAGGTAGTTTAGAAAGCAAGAGAGCTAGTGAGCAGTGATTACGCGTACATTTTCCCCCGAAGGGTTGGGGTCTTTATATACTGGAGTCTTCACGGGTTTTTCGAAGTGGTTCCGGGATTCTTGCCGTGATGAGGCCCGTATCCGTATTAGCGGGAGATAACGTTGCCAGCCGATAAGGCTTATCGCTTCCGCCTGATTCGGACGGGGGAGATAAGGCTGGCAGTTACGAGGTGTGATCCCGTAAAGCGTGGAATCTGGTGGTGATATCTTTGGGGTTAACATGCAGAGGTCGGTCGATATTACCAGAACTAGCGCCCCTTGGGTCCGTCCTGGTACGAATGCCGAGGTGTCTTATAACCGAGGTGATCTTGATGCAATCGTGTCCCGAAGTGGATTTGCTTCCGAGGTGAACTTGCCCCGAAGTGGTTCAGTTATCCGAGCTCGGTCTGTCGTAGACTTGGATATGTCGGGATGAGCTATCATCCTGTCAATTAGATCGTGTCCACGTGTCCCCCTATTATTAGGTTGAGCCAAATCACCTTACATCACATTGCATTAATGGCGATTTCACAGGTTAATTGGGAATTTGAGATGTATTTGGTTTTGGTGTCTGACGCTATGTGGTTAGTTGTATTGGGTCTCAGTTAAGTTATATTTATTCATATCCATGTTTAGTCATGATCATATTATAAATAATGATCCATCATCATATTAGTATTAATTAATGACTAGAAGAGATCCCACATATTAATTAATTGGTATTAAAATTAAGCACGCCCATATGGTGATGTTAGCTTTTGTGTATTTTTGTGAGAAGAAGACGACTTAACTTTTTTTTGGGAGAAATTTGTGTATGGATTAGTAATTAAAAGGGTCATACTTTTATAATTTTTGTTAGAAAAGATAAGAAAAATTGATAAAATTTTGCTTCAAGCCAAAGGAAGGATTGGTTTTACATTGACCAATTATTTTTTTAGGGAGATTCAAAATTTTAAGAATCTCTTTTCTTTCCTTTGTTTTTCGTTTTTGTCCTTTCCTCTTCTCTCTTTTGAATGCATGAGAATGCATGGGAATACTATAGATGTTCACATGCATGATAGGGTGGTTGGGGGTGCTTTTCACACACGTGCATGCTGAACCGGGCCAGGTCAGTGCGCGTGTGTGTGTGTGTGTGCATGCCTAATAGTGGCCTGTGGGTTGTTTTATCTTGGCGACCGATTTGCATTTACCTGGCTACACCATAGGGGGAAAATGCAGTTTTAAGGAGAGTGACCAAGTGGCATGACTCAACCCTCATTCTCTCTGTAATTTCTTAGATTCACAGTTCTGTAACATTGCTCAGTTTGGAAAGCGATTACGATAAGTTCCATTCTACCTTCCTTATTATTTTTACAACAATCTTAAAACTGTATTTTATGGAACCTATCTCTGCTAACCCCATCATGAGAAATCGAATATTGATAACAATTCCAGATTTCTCAAAGATTGAACCCTTCAATGGAGCCAACTACAAGCGTTGGAGACAACGCCTTCTGTTTTCCTTAGAACCATCAGGGGTAGCCTCTTCTTTGACTGAACCAAACCCACTGAATATGGAGAAACTAACACGTTCTCTTGTTGCAGAACATTGGATCATGGCTGACCACCTCTGCAAAAACCATATCCTCAGTTGCTTGTCCAATCAACTCTACAATGTTTATTGCTCTTATAATTTTGCTTATGAAATCTGGAATGCTTTGGACAATAAATATGCTTTGGAAAAAGCTAGAATTAAAAAGTATGTAATTATCAATTTCATGCATTTTATCATGAAAGAAGACATGAATGTTTTTGCCCAAATAGATGAGTTTCAGGTGCTTGTGGAGGAACTAGAAAAAGAAGGCATGATACTGCTAGATGAATTCATTGTCGATTCTCTCATAGAGAAATTGTCACATACATGGAATGATTTCAAAATAAGTATGAAGCACAAGAGAAAGGACACTACTTTGAACCAAGTAGTCGTCCGAATTAAAACAGAATAAAAGAATAGAAAGAAAGAAGAATATGAGAAAAATCAGACTTCCAAAACTAATTTGGTGGAGGAAATGGCTACAAAATTAAAAAAGAATTTGAATGTGAAAAATGATCAAAAATTCAAGAAGCAACAAAAGAAAGGAAAATGTTTTATATGTGGCAAACCCAGGCATTACAAGAAAGACTACTAGTACTGAAAGTAGCAATGGCAATGGGGTGGGGCACCCACTCCCCGTCCCTGCCTCGAAGTCATGATACCTTGCCCCATACCCGCCCCGTCCCCGGTGGCGGGGTGGGTTCGGGGCGAGGCATCCATTCCCCATAGGGGACGAGGAATCCCCGAAATTTCTCCGCTTTAAGGCAATTACTTAAAAAATATTTATTTTATGGACAATTTATACATAGGATATAAGAATTTGGGGATATTTTAGAATTGAATTATAATACTTAAGGGGTAATTCAAAAATAAAATTATAGGATCCTAGGATTTTAAAAATTTAGGAAAAACTTAGAGATATTTTAAATTTCAATATTAAACCTAGAGATATTTTACTAATTTACCTTCGGGTTCGGGGAGAGTTATGGGAATTATATACAAAACCCGTCCCTGCCTTGTTCCCGGTTCGGGGAAAAATTATTTTCCCCGTCCCCACCCTGTTCGGGGCAGGGCGGGGCGGGGCATCAGCTTTACGGGGGAAATTGCCATCCCTAACCGAAAGAAAAAAGGCTCTAGGAAGACAAAGGTCAATTTGACTGAAAACATCATTGTAGCCATGGTAACCGAGACAAACTTGGTTTATAAACCGAAGAAGTGGGTGTTGGACACTGGTGCTACTAAGCACATATGTGGGGACCACAGCTCTTATGAGTRCATTACTCATATTGAAGGAGAACAAGTCTTCATGGGAAACTCTCAGACTTCGAAGGTCATCGGTAAAGGAAAGGTACTCCTTAAACTGACTTCGAGAAAGATCCTAATGTTGAATGGCGTGCTGCATGTATCGGAGATCAGATGAAATTTGGTATTGGGAGCACTCCTCAATAAAGTAGGACTGAAACTCACATTTGAAGCAGATAAAGTTGTGTTAATTAAAAATAATGTATTTGTTGGAAAATGATATAATGTTGGTGGACTATTTGTACTAAATATTTATGATGTTGTTATGAATAAGATTGATTCTTCTTTTGCTTATATTGTTGAATCTTTTGATATTTGACATGCTAGACTAGGACATCGTAGTGATCCATATTTAAAACAATTATCTAAAATAAGAGTTCTAAATGTTTCTGTAGATTTTAAAACT